GGGTGGGGGGCGCCCAGAGAGGGAGACTCGAGCCAAACCAGGCTGCACCTGGAAAGACATGGAGAGATGTTCCATTATACTCCATGTGTTCTGAAACCTTTCAGATGATTTTTATCAGACGAGTGACTCGATCAGATTTAATGTTTAATGACTTTATCTGGTCATTTATCTGATCATTTAATGTTTAATGACCAGATAAATGCCTAGTTGCTGAAAGAGGGACCGCAGAGGGTAAGAGTGGCGTATTAGTCCATTTCTGCTGCTTATAACAGAATACCTGAAACTGGATAATTTATAAAGAAATAAATTTTTTTCCTTACAATTTTGGAGGCTGGGAAGTCCAAAGTCCAGGAAACAAATCTGGTAAGGGCCTTTTCCTGGTGGTGACTCTATAGAGACACAGGGTATAGAGACACAGGCTCTACCTTTCAATTACCATAATAGGATTCCCCTCCCCCCCCTTCTAACACTGTTACAGTGGGGATCAACCATCTAATACATGAAACCTTGGGGGACACAATTCAATGCATATCAAGTGGGGAGTTGGACATCAGTTGGGAGAGCAGATGTCTAGGCAAGAGATGGTGGTGCAGGAAGGATGGGAAAGAGACAAGAGATCATTAAGAGATGTTATGCATTGAATTGTGTCCTCTCAAAAGTCATAATGAGTTGAGGTCCTAACCCATAGAACATTAGAGTGTGAGCTTATTGGGACATAGGGTCGTTGGAGATGTAGTTAGTTAAGATGAAGTCATAGTGGAGTAGGTTGGGCCCCCTAATCCAAAATGATGGCATCGTTAGGGGGAATTTGGACACGGGCACCTCACACAGGGAGAACACCATGCAAAGATAAAGTCATTTTGGAGTGATGCTCTACAAGCCACAGAATGCCAAAGATTGACAGAAAACCACCAGAAACTAAGTGAGAGGCCTGGAACAGATTCTGCCTTGGCCTCAGAAGGAATCAACCCTGCGGATGCCTTGATCTTGGACTTCTGGCCTCCAGAACTGTAAGCTAATGAATTTCTGTTGTTTAAATCCCCGAGTCTGGGCTGCTTTGTTACAGCAGCCACAGGAAGCTGACACAGAGGAAAGAGCAGGATGGAGGTGGGAGGGTGTATTGTTAAGATAAATAATATCAACTGCGGAACCCCCCCCCCCCCAATCCCAGTTGCTTAACACATAGACGTTTAGTTCTCACTCCTGCCGAGACCCACACCCATACTTCTGGCTGGCAGGCACTTTCCATAAGGGCACTCAAGGATCTGGCTCCTTCCACCCTCCTCTAAGCCCTGGGCATCCCCTCTTTTAGCTGGTGAATGGAGAAGAGAGAACCTGGGGCTCTGGGAGGGTGCTCGAGACCTGCTGGAGGTCAGACCTGCCAGGGGCCTATGTCAGTGCTTTCCAAACTTGAACACCCAGGGATCCCGTAAAAGTGCAGGTTCTGCAGGAGGTCTGGGTGGAGCCTGAGAATCTGCATTTCTAACAAGCTCCCTGGTGATGATGATTCTGGTCCGGGGACTGCACTTTGAGTATTGAGAGGTGTCACTCCTGCCACCGACCTGAACTCACTCCCATAGCCACACCTGATGCAAGGGAGGCAGGGAGATGGAGACCAGCGGTTCGTGCAGGAGTTGGAGGAACCGGGATCAGTAAACATAGGCAGGTGGGGCAGGCAGGAGGTGGGCAGGAGGAACACAGCTCTCCCACAAAGAACAGGGCAGCAGTATCATTGCTGCGGGGGGACCAGCAGGAGGTCACGACTGGGATCTTTCTAAACCCCTGGGAAGGCCCCAGCCTTTGTCCCAAGAGAAAATGAGAACTGCCTCAGGGTCTCAGAGGGGCCCACAAGCCCACTCCCAGCCCCCAGCCCTCGTCCAGGTCTCACCTAGGACAGTTGAACCACTGACCCCTTAAAGGTGTGGCCTGGCCTGGTTCTTCTTCCCCCAGGGCTGCACATACAACAGTTCCAGGGCCTCGTTTTGCCTTGGTGGCCTTGATGTGCCCCTGCCATAAGGGGTGTGCCCCAAAGGATCCCACTGGAAAGATGAGGAAACTGAAGGAAGATCCAGGGCCGCTGAGCAGCCGTGGGTAGAACCCAGGAGTCCTGACTCCACACTGGGGTCCAACCTCACTCTGACCCTGCTCTCCTGGCAGAAAAGGGCTGGGCTCAAATACACAGGCTGGGCCACACCCACCCCTTTATGGCAGTCCCTGAGCCTGCCCCTCCAAGGTCCACCACCTTCTTACCGTCTCCCCCGCGCAGACAGGGAGAATCCCTAGTCGCATGCCCAAGGGAGGGCAGGGCAAGGCCGACCCCAGGCCCTGGGTTCCTTCTCGCCCACCCAAGCCCAGGTCCTCCGCTCCTTTTTTCCTGCCGCCCCCTCCTGGCCGGTGTGCGCCTGAGAATCCGCTCCCCTCAGAGGTGACAAGCCAAGGCGAGGACTGACGTCCACCGGAGTCGGACTCAGGCCCTGGTAACGCTGGCTGACCCCTGTCTTTTTTTGGCCTCGGTCTCCCCGTCTGTGAAATGGGCTGCTGGAGATCCTGCCCTGGGGGTGTCGCTCACGGCAGAAACATGGGAGTGGTGGTGGGACCTCCCAACGCGGGCAAGAGGGAGCTGGTGTCTCTATGTAGCCAGACGTCCCTGCGGAGTCGGGGACCGTGACGCTGTGTGCGATGGCCGTGCGTCGGCGCCCCTTACTTGGATCGACCGAGCGGAGTTTGAATCCCGGCTCCAGCACTTCATAGCTGGTGGCGGCGCTCGAGTCACGTAGCGCCGCCGAGCCCGGGTCGGCCCATCTGCAGAATGGGGAAATGCGGACTCCTCCGCAGGGCGTTAGGAGCGCAGACACGCCGCTGCTTGCAGAGCGCTGAGCGCCGAAAGCTGGGGGGCCGGGGGAGGGCGCGGAGGGCGAAGGCCTTTCTTAGTTCTCGAATGGTCCATGAGCGACCTGAGACTGGAGTTTACGGCAGGGACACGCCCCCCGCCATGTCAGTTCCAGAGCCTCGGAACTAAGCACCCCCTCCTTCTCATCCGCCGCCCCCGGGCGGGGTGTCGCAGTGCCGCGGTCCAGAGGGACAGTGCTAGGCCCGCGCTCCAGCCCCGCCAACCACTGACCCCTGTTTCTGCACGTGGAGTCCTGATTGTCCCTGTCCCCCACCTCGCCCTCCTTCGGCGAGCCGTGACGGGGTGTGCGTGTGAAGTTCCTCCACACACTGATAGCATAGCCCAGGCCTGCACCCTGACATTCTCCGTGGGCTGCAGCCTGGGACAACGCCACCCTGCCTCTCTGCTCGCGGGCCGGAAGGAGAAGAGACCCGGGGTTGACAAGGTGGCCCCTGGCTCCCTCGTTAGGGAGGGTCAGGCGGGGTCCAGCGCCGGGCCAGCGTTTGGGGAGACTCCCACCCCAGCGCTCAGCGAGTTGAGAGGGCTCCCCGAGGACATGACCTGGGCGTGGCCTGGAGTTTCAGCAAGACCATCTCCTTCGAATGCCCCCCGCCCGCGTCCCATGCGCCCCTGGCCCCAAGAGCCTTGCCGTGAGGCCCTAACTGCAAGATCCCTCCCGCCCCCGTTGAGTCACTGCCGTGGGCACTTTGGCCTCTCGGAACCCTCCCTGCGACCCACATCTTGCTTCTGCATCTGCTCCCGAACGGGGGAGGGGAGATTGGCAGGGCAGGGACAGGTCCTGCGGGTGCTTGGTGCGGGGGTGGGCAGGCTGGTCGGAGGGGCAAGGGATCTGGGCGGGGTGGGGGGCAGCTCTGGGCCCCAGGCCCCCACCGTCTCCTTCCCCAGGCCCCCGCCTCCGCCCTCCCACGCACCTGCGCTGGCCTCCCCCCAAGCCCTGGGGGCAGCGGGCGGCGCTGGGAGATCAGAGGACTCGAAGGAGTCGGGTCTAGGGGGAGGGGGCGGGGAATTTCCCCCCACGCCTGCCTGGGCCTGCTCCCCTCCCCGTCCCCCGCTAGGTGGGGGGCACCGCTGGGGGAATTCCACCGCACTGCAAAGGCTCCGGAGAGCCTGGGCTGGGGGTCCTAGGGAGGGGAGGGGAGCGGGACTGGGACCAGGAACGCAGCTGCCTTCCTCCCCAGACACCAGCTGCCCCTGCCTGTCCCGGACTGAGCGTCCACGATTCCTGCCGGTCTCGCGGCTGCCGGGGCCCGGAGTGGCACTTTCTCCTCCAGGCCAGTGGCGTCGGGACCTGGGGAGGGAGGAGCGTGAGGATCCCGAGAACGTGTGCTTGTGAGCTTCTGACAATGAGTGGGTGACTGAAGGGGAGCCGTGCATGCACTTGAATGAGGGTGCTTGTAACCCGGAGACTGCGGATGTCCCCGGGCACGTGTGGCCGCGCGAGGGGATCCCGTATTTTCCCTGTTAAAGTCCTTCTGTCCGCTACTAGCCTGGACTGTCCCCATCCGCAAGCTCCCACCAGAATCCGCACCGACCCTGAGGGGGAGGGGGCGGGGAGGCGCGCGCTGGAACGCCGGGGGTCCCGGGGCGGGGGGGCAGGCGTGGGAGGCGTCCGGACCTGCTGCCTCTGCTCCAGTCTCGGGCGGGCCTTCCCAGTCTCCCTCTGGGGGAGGGAGGGACCCAGGGGGAGGGACCGCGGAGGGACGCGAGGGGGGCAGGAGCCAGCGCGTTAGAGACCTAAGCGAGGGAGACGCAGTGAGCAAGGCGCAGAGGGAGGGGGCGGGTGTAGACGCCAAGGCAAGACCCGGAGCTCAGAGAGGCAGACACTGAGAACACCTCCGGCTAGATACTCCCCAGAGAGCCCTCCGGGTAGAGACAGGGGCAGAGAGACGCCTCCAGAAGCAGAGACCCTGGGAGGCAAAGACCCCCCGGGAGATATTTCCCCGCCCCAGTCGGAGAGCGCCACCCAGAGTGCGACAAGGACAGACGCTCAGAGGACAACGTCCCCAAGTAGCCTGGGAGACCCCAGAGCGACCCCGGGGGCGGCCCGGGCCGTGTCCAGGCCAGGGCGACCTCTTTGGGGTTGGGGGCGATGGGGACACGGGCCCTGAGGGGTCTCCTTCTCCTCCTGCTGTTGTCGCCGCGCGGGGCCTCGGCGGGGAGCCTGCACAGTCCAGGTGAGTCCAGGCACAGCAGCCGGGCCATGGACACCACCCCCTCGTAGGCCTGCGCGCCCAGGGCCGGGTCCCCGAGGTTGGGGAGGGGGCAGAGCAGGTGGCCGGAGCAGCTGAGCAGCCCGAGGGCCGCCGCGGGGCGGGTGTCGGGGCGCTGGCTGGGGACCCAGGCTCGTTGGAGGGGGTGAGGACGCCCGGCTAGGGTCCGGACCTCCCCAGGCCCCGCTGTTGCCGTGCAGGCGTGTCCGAGTGCTTCCAAGTGAACGGCGCCGACTACCGCGGCAACCAGAACCGCACTGGCCCGCGTGGGTCCGGCCGCCCGTGCCTCTTCTGGGACCAGACGCAGCAGCACAGCTACAGCAGCGCCAGCGACCCCCAGGGCCGCTGGGGCCTGGGCGCGCACAACTTCTGCCGGTGAGGGGCGGGGCCTCCGTGCGGGCCGGACGGAGATCCGCGAGGGGCGGGTGCCCTGCCGGAGGGGAGGATCTGGGGCGGGGCCTATCTTGCTCGGGGAAGGGGCACAAAAACTGCGCAAAAGCCTTTGACTTTAGGTATCCAACTTCTGCGTAGCCTCAGTTTAGGGCCAGGAGAGAAGGACCAGGCCTGGGCACTCAAAGGGACTGTACGGGCGGGGCCTGGTCAGAAGGCGGCCCTGGATGGGGCTGGCCGGTTGCTCAGTTGATTAGAGCGTGGTGCTGGTAACACCAAGGTCCAGGGTTCGATCCCTGTAAGGGCCAGCCGCAAAGGAAAAAAAAAGACCACAGATCTACAGATGGCCTGAAAGTCCTCACATATGAGATCAAGTCCGAGTAACAGCTGAAGACCTAAAAACAGCACTCAAGTCCCCTTTTTGACCTGCCGTCCACTCGGAAGCCGACGTCCAGAAGCACGTGGTGAAAACTAGACTTTGTTTTAAGACGGAGGCGAGCATAGTCTCTTACATGCACGGAGCCTTCTTTGCACACAGGCTGGGATTTGCGCTCTTGGGGCGGCGGGATCCCCACCACCTCTCTCCCACCCTCAGGAACCCAGACGGTGACGTGCAGCCATGGTGCTACGTAGCCGAGACGGAGGAGGGCATCTACTGGCGCTATTGCGACATCCCCACGTGTCACAGTGAGTGGGCCAGGCCGGAGAGAGGTGGGAGCGCTGTGGTGCCCAGGCGGAAGGTCACTTTGGAAGGTGCGGGAGCCTGACTCCACTGTCCCCTCAGTGCCCGGCTACCTGGGATGCTTCGTTGACTCGGGGACGCCCCCAGCCCTCAGCGGCCCCAGCGGCACCTCCACGAAGCTCACGGTCCAGGTGTGCCTTCGCTTCTGCCGCATGAAGGGCTACCAGGTACTGCCCACGGGTCCAGACCAGTGACCCCTGATCTTGACCTCAGGACCCCACTCCTCTTCCAACATTCTGACACCAAACCTTGTCACTAACTCCGAACCAGCAACCCGATTCCCACTTCCGATCCCGACCCCAGGCCCCCCACCACTTCACTCCTCCTCCAGCCCCTGCCCTTTGGGGTCACCCAGTCTGTGCTCCCAGCTGGCGGGAGTGGAGGCTGGTTACGCCTGCTTCTGTGGCTCTGAAAGCGACCTGGCCCGCGGACGCCCGGCCCCCGCCACCGAATGTGACCAGATCTGTTTCGGCCACCCGGGCCAGCTGTGCGGCGGCGATGGGCGGCTGGGCATCTACGAAGGTGAGGAGGGGGCGGCAGTGCGCGGACGTGGAGCTCCGCGCGGCCTCGGGCCCTGACCTCTGGCCCCGTCCGCAGTGTCCGTGGGTTCTTGCCAGGGCAACTGGACGGCGCCTCAGGGCGTCATCTACTCCCCGGACTTCCCGGACGAGTATGGGCCGGACCGGAACTGCAGCTGGGCGCTGGGCCCGCCGGGCGCCCTGCTGGAGCTCACCTTCCGCCTCT